ATATAAGGTGCCTATAGCAGTGGCCTCTTTTCTGCTCCTCTATTCTGCTTCCATCCAAATGCAAGAACAAAAAGGAAATATACAGTATTTCAGCTTTGTTAGTGTTGATATACACGTTAAGTGGACAGATACATAAACTACACTCATCAGAGCACAGAACCGACTATGAATACCACTCTGGATGGATCTTCTGCATATGACCAGGTTTGAAGCAAACTTCACTCTAGTACATTGTCTGAGATTTCATGGCCAGGACATGATGATCAGGGCTGGTGGAAGGTGGTAATGAGTTAAGACCGCGTTCCTTGTAAAGCTTCACCTGTCTCCAATGGATCAATTAATCTGACAGTGATAGACAAACAGCCCGGAGCCACTCAGCAGGATTCTCCAGCGGGGAGAGCATGGGCTCCAGAGACGGCTCTCTGACTCAGCAGAACGTTCTGGAAAGATAGAAGTCCGTCCGCTTTGGAAATCTCCGATTCCCTGTTCTGTACTCCACTCCTTCTAAAGGTGCCCACACGCCTTGCGATAATCCTGGGGAATCCCGCGATCGTACGATTATCGCAAAGTGTCTGGAAGACGTGCGACCTCTGCTACTGTAAGGTCGCACGACTTTTATCTTAGGAACATGTTCGAAAACCCGCCGAGAATCGTACGATTGTTGGCGGGTGTGTGGCATGTTCGTAAGATAAATGCCGCACGGGCCGGTGTGCGCAAGCGCACACTGCCCGTTCAGCATTGCGGTCATGGGAAGCCCGCCCCTCAGCAGGGCGGGCTTGCGATCATCGCAATTACGATCTGCCTGTCCAAGATAGGCAGATCGTACGTTTTTTTTAATGACCTTACAACCATCGCAAGACAAAAGTTTTGCGATGGTTGTAAGGTGTGTGCCCAGCATTACTCTCCTGAAATCCTCTGCACTGCTGGAGGACTCTGATCTTTCCCCTATTTAAAGGTGCCCATACACTGTGCGATTATTGCGGGAAATCCCGCAATCGTACGATAATCGCAAAGTTTATGGAAGGCGTGCGAGCATTTTTACTGTACGGTCGCACGTCTTTTGTCTAAGGAGCATGTTACGATTTTCGGCTGGTTTGTGGCATGCTCAGGAGACAAATGCCGAACGGGCCGGAGTGTGCACGCGCACATTGCCCGCTCAGCATTGCGGTCATCGGAAGCCCGCCCCTCAGCGGGCCGGGTTTGCGATGATCGCAAGTACAATCTGCCTGTCCAAGATGGGCAGATCGCAAGTTTTTTAAATTACTTTACAACCATGGTTGTAAAGTGTATGGCCACCTCAACTCTTCTCTCCTGAAATACTATGCTCTGCTGGGGGAATCTGCTCCTTCCTCTATGTAACTCTCCTCTCCTGAAATACTCTGCACTGCTGGAGGACTCTGCTCCTTCCTCTAACTCTCCTCTTCTGACATACTCTGCACTGCTGGAGGACTCTGCTCCTTCCTCTAACTCTCCTCTTCTGACATACTCTGCACTGCTGGAGGAC